TTGCCCAGACATGATAAACTGGACAAGATTACCTGGGCATGATTACCTGGCCTAGGTGATTACCTGGACGTGATTACCTGGCCTAGGTGATTACCTGGACATGATTACCTGGATGTGATAACCTGGCCTAGTAGATTACCTGGTGTGTAAGTTTACATATGAAAAATGGTCAGTAGCGGAATGCTGTGCTGGGTGCCTTCGGCATCGTATTTCAGTGAGATAGCACTATAAAGTCGGCATCTGATCTGCGCTATCACAAGGAGGCAAGTACACAAACATACCCTGTCACCAGCACACTTGCACGCTGACACAACACACACGGAGGCATGTCCTTAAATGACCTTGGCTCTTAATAGGACGTTAAACAAAATAAAACCAAACCAAACAAATGGTCAGTAAGTAAAACCACCTGATCTGATAACAATTAATTACCTAATCTGACAAATGATAACTCACCTGTTTCATTGATTAGGCCTGGTCTTAGTGCACCGTCACTGGATTAACATTTTAACAATTAATTGAAAAAAAAAATCTGTAGCCTTCTTTGAAATGCTCAGCTCTAGGAGTTATTGATGAATTTGTAATTCCAATATTTCCAATACTGATTGGTTTTTCAATTAGACCATACCTGATACCTCGGACAGAACGTCTGATAAAATTTACACCTGTTACATTCTATGCACCTGATATTACATGTGATCCTGTAATACAGATTAGACCTGCGTTGATTTCTATTGTGATATTTGCAGGTTTTATTTTATGATGGAAATTCTCCCGTTTCTTCATGGCATATTGATTTCGAAGAGCTTATGACTCAATTACTATAGCCTGCTGTGAAGCAGACTGTCATGTTTTACAGGGACCTGAACTCTTAATAAATCAAACTTCGCGATCACTCTGGCAGGTGTCAGAACTCGACATTGCCATGCTGCTAAATATCGCCATTATTGGCGCTTCCCAAGTGACAGAACCAGTCAGTGTTCACAATGGTTCAATGTCAGAAATTTCAATTATTTAGTTTTCTTTCACATCTGAACTTAATTCAAATGTGAATGGAAAAATAAATAATTAAAATTTCTCTGATTCCAGACTAAAATCATCAGTGTTCAAATGTGTGAATGCAGAGATTTATACTTGTAGATGATGTATTTGACCTTTGGTCATTTCTTCGTCAAATTTCAATGAAATGTTTCTGAAATAGACATGAAGAGAATGGAGAACTGTCAGTGAGAACTCTTGACATATGGATAATTTGATTTGCAATTAATTACATTTAGGAAATAAATTTGAATTCCTGTTTCCCAAATTTGAAAAATCAGTTGCTAATCAAGATAATTTTGATTCAAGTTAATGTATAAAATGACAAAAAATCTGTGAAATTGACAGATTTCACATCACAAGTTAAAAATTCCAATTTCAAATGTTGTCTGAAGCGGTGATATAAAATGTTCGATAGGTTTTCAGGAATGTTGGGTTTAATGTCTTTAACAGCAAATATTTGGAAATTATTATTTGTGTTTTGGGGGAAATTAAGGCAAAAATTTAGTGCAAATGCCTTGCTGAGATGTTCCAGAAATTAAAATAAATAAAAAGTATTGTCGCAGAAAATGTTGATTTTGATTTGAAGGCCCACATGTGTCATAAACAATGCACTGTTCCGCAGATTCCTACAGAAATTCACGTTTATCACATAGCCACATGTTGAACTCATCAATATTCATTATAGCTGTTGTCAAGGAAATGAAATGATATAACGGTTCTGGAGAACAAAAAAGAAAAGAATGCAAAAGAGTAGCAACCAATTAGCTGAGACATCCTGTCATCCCTATTTCATCATTAAACTGTTCCATTAGTTTTAACGGGCAAGTTTATCATTATTTATAGGGGGGTTAGGATATGTTTTGTGGTTTCCTGGAGGATATTGTTGAATTTTGTTTGCACAAATTGATGTGATATGATATTGGAGCTCTTTGTTGTTTGAGGACACATTAAACCAGCTAATATGGCATGTTATACTGGAGAGAACTTCTGTTTATATTTTGGCAATTTTTTCACTGGAATATAAATTTTTCAAAATCTTTTAAAATTTCCATTGAGATATGGGATTATATTTATAAAATCGGGCATGGCGGATTCTTCTCAGTTTTTGTGTCGCCTGCAATGTGGCCCCACACTTACTAGTCACAGTTTTTGTGTCGCCTGCAATGTGGCCCCACACTTACTAGTCACAGTTTTTGTGTTGCCTGCCATGTGGCCCCCACATAGTACACTTACTAGTCGGAAGCTCTACCATTGAGCTAAAGGGAAATTCCCTCTAGCACGAAGCTGGAAGGTGACCGGAATCCTATGTACATAAAAATTTCCACAAAACTTACAAGCACAAAGGGGAGTGGAGAAAGGGGAGAGCACTCAGCTATTTTACACAAAGGGGTGTCTTGTGCTGGTTTAGTTTCTGTATGGCTTTTACATCATATCGATGGAGATACAGTATGTCTAACACATATACTCAAATGGATGTTTACGGATGTTTATATATATTTTTTAAAATGTTGGTTTGGTTATTTTCCTGTTGACAATAAAAAATATATATAAATAATGCTGTAAAGAGATAATATGGGGTTTGTTTTACTAACTGATACACTATGAATATTTCACTGTTTTACGCTTACATAGACTATAGTGTTTCTCTGTTGGCTTCTGTTGGACATGTTATACACAAGTATGATGGGTATTTCCGTTGGTCGACAGGGTATAGTGGTTGGCGCCAGGAAGATAGCGATGACAGCATTACCTATGTGCACACAATGACCAAAACGTGTGGAATTCGTAGTTACGTAATCACAGATCCTTGTGAAGATTTTATTCTACTGTAATGGGATGTGGCACCTTAAACCCACAATCTCGCTCTGTAATGGGGTGTGCCACCTTAAACCCACAATCTCGCTCGGTAATGGGGTGTGCCACCTTAAAACTAGACAATACGGTTAATAAGATACTCTTTCCACTTCACCGTTATTTCTTACACCAATGGGTGACGATAATTGAGTCCATGAATAAACATGGCCGGTTCTGAAAATAAAATCCTGATGTTCCCTGTTAAACTGTCATGTTTTAGTGTTATTTATGTATTCCATAAAAGTTTGTATTTCGTATAATCATATTTGTATCAATTTGGACAATTTCTGTCCTTACAATAAACTGGCGGATATCTGTGTTTTCAGAATGAATATGTTATATGCATATGCATTATGCCATTTCTTTTACGACGGCTATTCATAAATATGGGAGTTTCTGTCATGCTTCGAACACAAACTGAACACATTAAATTGTTGATAGTCCATTTTGTTTGTTAATTTCATAATTGGTTTTATACTTGATAATATTAATGATTTAGGCATTTGCCCGATGCTAGTTTTAGTTCGTTGTTGCTCCTCTTGATCAAGAATGACCTTCAGAATCGAAACGAAATTAGTCTAGATTAATATCGTAATATTCCAACTTCTGTAAACATTTTGTTACCGAGTAAATGTCAATTGCGACCTTTTCATTCCAACATTCCTATATATATATATAGCAAATCTGAAATGTCTTCCCATCGAAATTGATTTGTTATGAGTTTCATAAAAATTTGAAAGAATTAAAATGACTTAAAGATTCTATTCATTATATGCTCAATCCAAGCATACAAAATTACACTTTCTACGAATAATTAAAGTGGAAACGTCAAAGGAAAAACATCAAATTTTTGCCTTCATAGTGAATTTGTAACATCAATTTAATACATATGTTTCTTGTCAAAAATTGATGTGACTCACATTATTAAATATGATATATACCTGTCTGAACATATGGTAATTAGTGCGAGCTATATCATTGCCTAAAGACAACTGAAAATTTTGAAATCCTTTGTAAGTTATTTTTTTAAACTTACATGCATATTAGATTTTACGCAGTTTGAAGATATGAAATGAATTTAGCTATCTCTGCCAGATTTCTTTGGTAATGTAGTGCCCCTTTTAAGCATCGGCTTTACATGATCATGAGGTAATACATTTTTTTCCCATTTTTCCATGTGTTTGAACTGTTTTAAATTCTTCTCTGCTGATTTAAAAAGTAAACTTCGAGAGACAAGTTTCATAGATCTCATATGAAATGGAAACAATTCAAGATCTTTTTATCACATTACTGAGATTTTGTGAATATTTTGGGAGAGCAGTTTTTCTGTCAGACTTTTATCATGTCTGCAGTGTATTCATTATGACTTATGTGTCGTGCCTTCAATATGACGTCACATTGGTATGACGTTAATTCTATGATGTCATATAATTCTGACGTCACGATGGGTGGTATAACATTTGATATACAACATGATATATCATATATTCTTGCATACCAGGCAGAGATATCAGTATTTCTGGCAGTGTTGGAAAATTATTTCGAATCAGTTGGATTGGATTGCTCAAACACATAGGTTAGGAAAGAACTCTATTTTATGTCAAGGGTAAAAACTCATAATATGTTTACATCTGATCTGTTTTCTCCTATACATTTCAATTTCAAGATGGACATGTATACATTTTGATATGGGAGATAATATTTGTACAGAAACAACCAATGAATTTTGTTGTTGTTGATTCAATATTGTTTCAGTGTATCACTTTTTAGGACAAGTTCGTACACACTACATTTTACAAGAACAGCTGATTTGAACAGTTTTAGATTGTGATCAAGAAATAGAAAACATCCCTGATGTGATGAGGTATATCGATAAAGGATGTTGAAAACCTCAAGATGAGATATTGAGTAGAGGTCCTCAGCAAGTCTCAGCTCCCTGCTGAACTACCCATACCTTACATCAAGGAGGGGGTCCCCTGATGTGTATTCCCTTTAAGAAGTAGCAGCCCTGTTATTAATTTAAAATATATATTATTTGAAAAGTTGCACAAAAAATATATTTACTTTTGAACAAAAATGTTTATTTTGCTATTTTGTTTTTCCAGGGACCTAAGCAACAACCAGATCAGTCTGATAGAAGCAGGGGCATTTGAAGGCCTACAGAAACTGGAGAAACTGTAAGTAGAGACCAAAAATCAAATCATGGATGGACCGCCCAGTTATATAAATATTGCCACAAAATTGGTATGACAAACACCAACAGTAAACATCTGTGAGTCATCACAAAAAAACACATTAATTACTCGATATTGAGTGCATTCCTGTGTTGCCTTTAATTTTTTAATCTTTTTTTTTTCGTCAAATCTTTTTTTTCATGTTTTTTTCCTTGAGAAGCTCTTTGGAAACAGTTAATTTCTACTACTGTTATTATGTTGTTGAAAAGATTATTTTAAGATTGGAGGAATTAATGTCATTTGTGTTTAACAAATTGGTGAAATTAGGCAGATAAAAATAGACCCGATATTAAAGACGGATAAATTGGTATATGCCTTCAGCTAACTGTCTGTGTGGGATCACTGTCAATACTTACCTGAAAAGGTGAGTGTTTTCACCTGTACATGTGACCCCCCACCTCACAGGTATGTCAGCCACATAGATGTACAATGCGGAGGTAGATAGAAGTTAGGGATTAACCTACAAACCTAACCATTGAGTATACACTGGCTATTTATACTCTACTGTATGGGGCTTTGGTGTTTACACTGATGTTTATAATACGGGAAAACTCTCTATTTTTGTCCATTATACTTTAATGCGATTGTAAACAATTTCCACCTGTGGTGTTGTAACCCTGTCACAACTGGATTCATCACTGATCACTCACTCATTGGAGAATCAGTCTGGAGTTTGAGAGCCTTTGGTTCGAATCCTATCCTGTGCTTCTAAAATATGTTAAGAAAAAATGTGTCTCCCCTTCGAATGAAGGGAGACATTGTTTTAACTTATTCACCCCTGAAATTTCATAATGAACTGTTCCAATCTTTGAATTGGAAGAGTTCAAATGTGTCCTCAAGGGTGAATGAGTTCTTCTGATAATTTCTTGTCTGAGCCGTAACTTGAGGGTATGTTGCTAGTGCAGTGTTCAGTCACTATGCCACTGTGACCTTGGCCTCAAGGTCAAAGGTCAGATGATGCCAACTTTTCAGCAACATTTAGTCTGATTTGTAACTTTTAAACCATTAGAGCTATGTGAATGAATCTTGCAGTATATCTGCATCACCCACAGATGTTGTGCAGTGCACTGTCATGGTGTTGCTGTGACCTTGATCTCAAGGTCAAAGGTTAGATAAAGTGCAAACTTTTCAGTTGTAACTATCAAAATTTTAGGGTGTTGTGATCTTCCACATCATGACTTTTTAATTGTATTTATATGCATTTTATAATTTATTGGTAGGCAGTTTTCTATAACCTTAATGAATTTAAGCAATTGTAAATATGTAGTTATTTGACATTATTAGTTTTGTTTTATTTTGCAAGTAAGTGGAGACAAATTTAAAGCAAACCTCGAGTTGAAAGCCGATTTTTCAGAAATTTTGCACATGACTTCATGAGTCTAGTGAACATGTACTTGTGTTTAATTAATAGCAGTTAAAAGAAAATATCACCTGAAATGTCGGACATTCTTTGTTTGTCACAATATGAATTTCTGTCTTTTTTTTTGTATGTAAAATTTTTCAAATCTATAAGAGAATATATATGAATGACAAAAAGTGCACAAGACAGCTAGTTTTGAGTACCACAACAAAATGTTCCTTTCAGAGGACATTGTTATTTTAATTACACACAATCATGATCACCAGGTTCTTCTATTTAGTATGTCACGTTCTGGGAGTGAACCTGTCATTGTTAATTTCCTCACACTTAACAGTCTATTTGATGTCTGATACTGTCAGCCCTTGTGTCCTGTGAGTGTCCTAAGACCTGGTTTGTTTGCCGTGTCATATCGCCCTCCAATTTAGTTATATCACCCTCCTGGACCTATATATGACCACACTTGTGCTACTTCAGGCAGTCGTAGATTCACAGGTGGAGGAGTTTACGCACTTTCCTATATCTTTAATCGGGAGATGGAGTATTTACTCTGGGCTGTGTCAATATTAGTAGCGGGTCTCGTCCCAGTCCAGTAATGGTAGGAGCATTGTTTGGAATCGTCTGTCAATGTTGAATATTTAAACTGGAAAAGGCAATTGGCTATTGCCATTTCGGTGTCAACAGATAGGGAGTAAAAGTCTGCAGTGTTACCTGTGTGTGGAGTTTTCATTAAGTACACAGTAAATTTACTCTTGGTAAGAGTAAGCAGTGTATTAATTGGCATCAGTTATTAAAAGTAAACAAATATTTACTCCTTTGAAGAAATATGTGGAATATTGCATATGATTGAATAATGATTCATAGTCCCACTGGTTTCTTTGCAGTGATTGTGAAAATGACACAAATATTGACTAATTTGAACGAAACAAAACATAAAGTGTTAATTGTCCATTTATCATATTTTCAGCAGAAAATCTATTGTACTGTCATCTATGCGGCAAAGTATTGGCTTTATGAAGCAGTATATCAAAATAAGAATTGTGAAAAATGTTGGAGATAAGTAAGACTGTAAATAACATTTTGAATTTTACTGCATTAGATCAAGTGATATTCGAATACCAATGAAGTCCAGTTTTAACCCTACCTGACATTTATGATAATTATGCTGATGTACATTATGTGGGTTTTACAACATAATATGGGGTTTGTACCATCTTAGAACTCCAAAGCCAATTAACCTAATTATATATCGCATTGTCATAAAAGATTTCAAGATCAGAATTGTTCTGGCAATATTTTTTTTAATTTTTTTAGTATAATCAACTTACAAATTATTCGTGTATTCGAGGATAAGTTAATGTCTTTCCTTTTGTTATGGTTTCTCCTCAGTTCCTGTTGTTATCTTTTGTTTACACATAGTTAAAATTAAGTTTCCGTCCCTGTGTATTGATAACATGATACATATCTTCAAATTTACTTAAACATTCCACATAAGGTATTGAATATATAGGTTATGTTTCCCTCCATATTGGACTAGAGTGTGAGTATAGGGTATATATATATATAGCACAATCTTCAGCCTCCAGTCCAATAATAATAAAGTCGAAAGAAAATCAATTTGGACTACAAGTATACCACAATAAAAGTGATATTTCATTCCCCAATAAAATGTTTGGTGTATCAGCTTCATGAAGATGATAGCAGAACAACAACGGAACAGGAAAGATATTTTACTTTTAAATTTTCTCCATTGTACAGGCATTGTGAGAGCTTTATATTGTTAGATAATCCGGACAAAGCAAGGCAGAAATTGAAATTGTAGTTTACGTTTCATTTCTGGATGGGGAATTGGTACAATCTTTAAACCGCCATTCTTGTAACATTTGATGAATACAGTTTTTATGAGACGGGAACCTAATATACGGAGGAACAAGAGATATTAAGGCAGAGGGCCACTCGTATTTTATTACTGAAATTGATTTCTTGGCAGAATACTTTGAATAATTTCCCCTTGGTTTGATCTGTTTTCTCTCTTAAGTTCCCTTTTCCATGCAGAGACAATCGTCTTATCCCAAACCTGGATCGGGTTTCCTAATAAGATACTTAAAATGTAATATTATTTTTTTTATCAAATTTGATAGTGTTATTCTAAATCCTATGATATGTCAATTCAAAAACTGTTTGCAATTGAAAGACTGTTAAATTTGATGTTTTTTCGTAGGCAGTGATATGATTTATTTATCAGACAAGCCTGCTTTTGCCCACTGTTTTACGCTACGTACTTGTAGTCCTGCGTAGTATACTAACAAGGCATCGGAACCAGCAAATCAATACGTCTGGGAAGGCGCCCCATAACAACATGGCTGTGTGGCAAATGTTCTGGTGCCTTTAATTTGTAATGGTAGAATGGACCCTGGGAGCTTTTAGAAGTTGCTTGGTAACACCAAGTCGGGAACCCGAGAGAAGGTTTTATGAAGCTGATGACATGGTGGAGACATATCATGTGACCACAGGGCTGTTTAGGGGTCATCTAACATTGTCTGGCGGACAGCTTCATCAGGCTATGGCAGACACAAGGTGAAGGGATGGGTTGGGTTGGTGTTTTTGGGTCCTAATTATGATGGATATCTCTGCTGACCCACTTGTGTTTGGGGTGGTCTGGGGCCACTTGTGTTGGGGGTGGTCTGGTGTTTGGCCGGAATTGCTATGGCTGAGGACTGCCCACTGTTTTGGGGTCGTATGGGGTCAACTCACAGACAATTCCATCAAAAATGCACCACACTGGATAAGTTATGATAGAAAAAATGTGTCTTGAACACATTCGCCACTGAGGACACATTTGAACTCATCCAATTCAAAGGTTGGAATAGTTCATTATGAAATTTTAGGGGTGAATGAGTTAACTTTAGGAAATTCCATAATTCTTGATTTTATTTTATGATGCGATTCTATAAACGCTTGAATATTTTAATCAGACAATGATTATAAAGTTTAAAAGTTTTAAGGAATAGCCTCAATATATTCTATCCTTGAACCTACTCAACAATAACACTGAATAGGACAATTGACATTGAAAAGAATGTTAACTTCAGATGGAACAGTAACTTCGAATGATAAAAATATATTTTGATAAATTCTAAAATACTTGATGTCTGTGTGTACAATGTAGGAAAACAAAATGCTTGCAAAATATATGTACCTATTAGGAAAATTTGTCACAGTGATTCCATATTTCATTGTCGTTGAAATAGTATTAGTGATATGCATAATAACACATGCAAGATTTTAAGATTTAAGTGAGTTCGGTTAATATACCACACATATTGTTAAATCAAAGGTTTTCTGGCAGTTTCACAAAACATTCACCTAATAGACACAGTTATTGTCTACATTTTAACTAGATTTTAATGGTAAACTAATGCACATTGACCACAACGTAGCTGATCCCTGGAGACCTTGGACACGGAAGCCAAAAATATGACAGCCTTGTATATATATCAGTCTACAAAGTCTGCAGGTCAGGTTAGCATGTGTAACATCCACTACCGGTCATGCTTGTTTGTGATTCTGAAACTGCACGACATGC